TTTTGTCATATCTTACATTGTCTGATGTCTCCTTTCACCCACTTTTCTGTTGTCCATCCCCCAGGGAGGAGGTTATATGTAGATCCTTGTAACCAGTTCCCCGTTTCCACCTTACCCTCTCTCCAACCTTCCAGTATTGCCACTCTCACCACTGGTCCTGAAGGGATCATCTGTCCTGGGTTCCCTGTGTTTCCAGTTCCTGTCTATATCAGTGTATATCCTCTGGTCTAGCCAGATTAAACAATGGAATTTTATTGATGCATAAAATTCCACAGTATGAATTTACCAGAGCTTGCCTATCCAGTCCTCTATAGTAAAGGTTTTTGTTGTTTCCATGTTTTTGCTATTGTGGAAATTGCTGAATAAACATAGGTGTACATAAATCTGTTCATGTACAGGATTTCATCTTGCTTGGATCCACAATCAGTGCTCCTGAAAGCAGCAGTTAAGAGATCAAATGACACATTGCATTTGGTAAATGTGCTACACAAGATCTCTTTAAAATGTTGAAGAATGAGAATGTTACTTTAAGAACTAACATGTGCCTGACTCAAGCCTTGGTATTTTCAACCTCATCATATGCATGTGAAAGTTGGACATTGAGGGAGGAAAACCAAAGAATTGATGCATTGGAATTAAAGATGCTTGCAAAGAATATTCAAAGTGCCACAGATGGCCAAAAGAACAAACAAATCTGTCTTGGAAGGGGTACCGCCAGAATGCTCCTTAGAAGTAAGGATGGTGAGACTTTGTTTCATATACTTAGGAGAAGCCAGTCTCTGGAAAAGGACATCATGTTTGGTAAAGTAAGGGTCAATGAAAAAGAGGAAGGGTCCCAGGGCAAGATGGTGACCAGGTAGGCAGCTCACACTGGGAGCTCCATGGAGATTGGTGAGTGGGGAGATATAGGGACCAAATAGGGGTTCCGAGGCTGTCGGTAAATTCCTGAGACAGCCCAGGGCACTTCCCTGAACCAGGAACTGATTCCCAGCCCATCTCCTGCACCCTCTGCAGAGTTCCAAGGACCTGGGCCTGCTGCATGAGCTGCCCTCGCTGCTGTGGACTCCACTGCAGTTGTTCACCAGGGCCGCAGTGCCCCAGGCCAGCCACCCAGCAGAGGCTTGTGCAGCAGTGGTTTGATACCCCAAATAGCATGGGCCCTCCTGCTGGCCATTGGCCGATCCCTCCTCTAAGACTAGCATTCTTTTTCTTACCTTTTCCCTGCTCTGCCCCTGGTGCTCCCCTGCCCTCTGTGCTCTAAGCAGCAGAGCTGCGTGCTAACAGACATGTCTGGGTCCTATTTCCCACCCGCCTGCCTGTCCGCAGTGCCTCTAGCCATGAACAGACCATCACCATCCTCACCCAATCCTCACACATGAAACTATGCGCTCCTGTGTCTGGACTGTGACCTGCACAGCTGTGAATGGGCCCCTATGGAAGCCTGAGAGTTACTAGAGCACAACAGAGGCTGACCTCAGAGCTTGACACTGGAGAGGGCCATCCAACCTGACCTCCAAAGAAGAGAGTCCCAATAGGCTAGGGTGAGAGGGGAAACCCTCTCACAACCCCCCAGAGCAGTTGGCTATAGGCAGCCTGCAAATTCATTCATATCAACCTCTTAAAGAGAGAGCTCAGAACCTCTGACTCCTGGGAATATGGCATCAAGTTCCTGCAAAATGAAACATAAACAGCAAGCTGCCTCAACAGGAAAACAGAAGAAGCAAAATCCAATGTCAGAGGATGACCTGAACCTA